AAAAGAATTAAAAGCATCATAACTGCAGTATATGCACACTCATGTGTATAGTGGCACAGTTCTTAACAGCTAAATATTGGACACAGCCCAAATGCCCATCAATCAATGAAGGGATAAAGAAGATGTGGGTTTTTAGGAATGGAGTACTACTCAGCCATAAAGAATAAACTTGAGATATTTACAGCTACATGGGTGCACCTTGAGACCATATTCTTAAGTGAAATAAATTGGACACACATTTAAATACTGCATTGTTTCTCTGGTGTGAGAAACCGGAGTGTAAATAAGAACCAAAATGTATAATAGATATTGTGAAATGGGAAGAAAATGTTCAAATGAGGAAGGGAACTAGGGAGGGAAGAGGGGGGAAAGGAAGGGATGGAAAAGAAATGAGAAAAAAAGGAAAAAGTGGAAACAAAGCTTTTGTGAATAAGGAGGAGAAGAGGAGTTGAAGGGAGGGTAGGGGAATGGGAAAAAAAAGAAAGAAGATATATACAGGTACAAATTCCCTATGATGAATGTGATTGTTACATATACCTAAAATGTACAGATAAACTTAATTAATTAAATTTTTTAAAAAAGTGGTTGTGCTGATTTAAGTTGTCAAAAGCTACTCATCAGGAAGTTGATGCAGGGGGATCCCAAGGCCACTTAGGCAACTTAATGAGAACTTGTCTCAAAATAAAATTTAAAAGGATGGAATGTGGCTTAGTGGTACAGTGCTTACTTGGCATGTGTGAGGCCTTAGGTTCAACCCCCAGCACTACAAATTTTTTTTAAAAAAATTTTAAAAGGAGGAAAAGGAGGGAGGAGAAAAGCTACATATAGATTTACCTTCTTTCAAAATTTGGTACAGCTAGACTTAAAATTTTTGCCAGTTAAGTGGATTTAAAATGGTATTGCATGGTCCAAATTTGCTTTTCCTTGATTACTATTATTGGATATCATTTTACTTGTTCATTAGTCATTTTGTGTTTTTCTTTCATGAAATGCTCATGCATGCTTTTCTCTTTTTCTTATGGGATAGTGTTTTTCTTGTTGAATTGTGTATTTTAAATATATATATGCTTGACGTTAAAACTTTTTGGTTGTGTGCCTATATGATTATATTATAAATATTTTCTCCCAATTTATAAATTACTTCATCTATTTACTTTAAGGAATCTTTTAACAAATTTTTTCAAGTGAACATTTTATTTTGGAATAATTTTAGATTTACAGAATAGTTGCAAAGGGGTCAGTGTTCCTGACCCCTTTCCTCTGCTTCCCCAATATCTTTCATAAGACAGTATATTTGTTGCAGCTAAGAAATCTACAATGGCACAGTTCTACTAATTTCAGACTTCCTTTAGATGTCACCAAATTTCTGTCAGTGCTGTTCTAAGATGACACAGGATAATATGTTTTTAGTGAAGTCTTTTAACAGGCAAAAGCTTTTATTTTTTTTCTGAGACAGAGTCTCACTATGTAGTTGAGGCTGTCCTTGAACTCACTAAGTAGCCCAGGCTGGCCTCAAACTTGCTGCAATTCTCTTGCCTCAGCCTCCCAAGTGCTAGAATTACAGGTGTACACCATCACCACACCCACCAAGCTTTTAATTTCAATAGCCAATTTTGTCATATTTATATCTTAAGATATTTTTCTCTAACCAAGATCATCTGTGTGTTCTATTAAAGGTTTTATTAAAGCCTGGTCCCCTAAAGCCAGGTACATGACTGTACTCTCAGCATTCTTGGAGGCTGAGGCAGGAAGGTTGCAAGTTAAGCCCAGCCTGGGCAATTTATTCTCAAAAATAAAAAATAAAGGACTGAGGACACAGCTCAGTGCAAAGCTCTCTGTTCAATCCCTAGTATCACTAGGTATATATTTTTAAATTTACTCTTCAAATTTTCATTTTTAAATTTAATTTGTTTATGTTGGAAATTAAACCCAGGGCCTCACACATCCTGGGCAAGAACACTACTACTGAAATGCATGTCTACTCTTTTATTGTTTGTTTGTTGACAGAATCTTCTTATGCTGTCCAGAGTGGACTAGAACTTGGGATCCTCCTGCTTCTGCTCCTGTGTAGCTGGAATTATAGGCATGCACCTGGTATGAGTTCCAATTTCATCTTTTTCCAAGTGTAGACTATTTTTCTCATCCCTATTGAATGACCACCCTCTCCTTTTCCTGTTCATTTAACATGCTATCCTAACATATACCTGGGTACAAACACACATGGGTAAGTTTCTAGTCTTTAACCTATTCTACTGGTTAATTCATTTCACATGGTCAATTACACAGCTTCAGCATGAATCCTAATAGTAGGCAAAACAAGTTCCATCCTTGTTTTTTCTTTTCTTTTCTCTAGAGTTCAACTCTTTATTAAACATGTTACAAAAGTGGTTTAGTTAAAAAGATCAAAGTCTGTGTCATTATCAGACTCCTCAGTTTTCTTTCCTTGTTTTTGCAGTGCTGATGATTAAATTCAAGACCTTCATACTGAGCTCCAACCCCAGCCCTCTTTAAATTTTATTTCTGAGGTAATCTCACTAAGTTGCCCATGTTGGCCTTGAACTTGAGACCCTCCGGCCTCAGGTGCTCCAGTAAATAGGACTACAGGCATGCACCACTATGCTTGGCCAAGGTGCAAATATTTCTTGCTTTTGATGGACATATCTTATCTCAACATTTATTTGAGCCTCCCTTAATGTCTCTTAACATTTTATAATTTTCCCTTTGTAGATGTCTTTCCTAAGTTCTTCTCTGAAATAACTGAAAATAGTAGTTTCTTTTAAAAACATTTCATAGTTTTTGTTCCTACTACAGAAATGCAGTTGATTTTTACTTTTAGATTTTTGCTTTGTCTTGGTTTGGTTTGGTTCTGTTCAGTTCAGTTTGGTTTTCTGACACTGGCCTTGAACTCACTATGTAGCTTAAGCTGTGTGTGTGTGTGTGTGTGTGTGTGTGTGTGTGTGTGTGTGTGTTTGAGACAGGGTTTCACTATACAGTTCAAGCTGCCTTGAACTCACTTTGTAGCCCAGGCTGGCCTTGAACTCACAGCGATCCTCCTGCCTCAGCCTCCCCAGTGCTGGGATTATAGGTGTGTGCCACCATGCCCAATTTCTGAACCTACAGTGATCCTCTTGCTTTGGGAATGCCAGAATGACGGGCATATGTCATTTTGTTGTTGTTGCTGTTGTTGCTTTTGTCTTCTTTCTGTTGGTGGTGACTATGATATTTCTGTTTGGGTTTGTTTTTTCACTTCTGTTTTTGTTTTTGCAGTGTTGGGGGTGGAACCCAAAGTGTCACCCATGGTAGGGAAACAATCTACAACTGAGCTACAACCCCCAGCCCTATTTATTAGTCTTATATACAGCTCTTCTATTATGAAAAATAATTTGTAAGTTCTTTTGAGTTTTCTGTGCAATCATATATTCTACAGATAATAACAGATGTGCTTTTGTTTTCTTCTCCCAATCCTCATGCCTCTAATTTCGTTCTCTTGTCATGTTAGGCCCTAGAAAAGAAGTGATGATGACAATGTTGTTATTTCATTCCTAGATTTTAAGAGAATGGTTCTAATGTTTCCTTGTATGGAGTAATATTTTGTGTTGGGTTTTTTAGGGATAGGCTTTACACAGATTTCTTTCCATATTACTTTACTAGAGCCACTCTTGGGGATATGGCTTAGCCCGCAAACTCCTAACATGAGCTACTGTGAAGGCCTAAATAAAAACAGATAAGTAATACAGCTTTGGGGGAGTCCGTGAAGGTCAGAACTCTCTGAGAGTAGAGACAAGAACTTGTCCAGACAGCCCATATTTATTCCACAGATTTGGGGAGTGCAGGAAGTAGAGGGCACTTCGGAGCAAAAGCCCAGAGAAAATGACCAGGGCCTTGAGAAACAAAGGTAGTAAATCTTGCCAATAAAGAGAACTGTTTGCTCTCTAAGGCTGGCAGCTTTATTGCTCTGGAATAGGGAGTGTCAGCAGCTTGCATCCTCCTGTGGTGTTATCTTGACTTCAGAGCACTGTGCATATGAGCTTTTCCAACAGGGCCGGAGAGGTTGTATCAGTCAGGGTTTACTAGAGGAACAGATATAATACAAGATAAACAAATGTACAAGGAATTACAAGTTTGGCTTACAATGGTCAGCTACAGAGTTGGATGAGGAAGCGTGCAGAGGGTGTCTGCATGCTGGAGATTGAAGAGCCCAGCCCCGGGCCTGGAGCTCCCTGCAGTGTCCGTGCAAGTCCGTATCAAAAGGCTAATGGGTCTGTGATGGAATGCTGAGGAATCTACGGTGAAGGCCCGAGGGCCAACACCAGAAGGCTGAAGAGTCCAGATGGAAGCCCAACAGTCTGCACCAGAAGCCAGGAGACGACCAAGCTGAAAGCGAAGACCAGAGCTCCTCTGAAGAACCAGCAGCCAGTCCTTGCTCAATTCCTTTTTTTTATGCAGTCTACCCACTCTGGGGAGGTGGGGGTGGCCCTCCACACCCACACCCTCTGCATGCCTGCCTCTTGCACCTGCTCAGGATGAATACAAATTAAGCACCCTGGACCCCTTCTGAGTTGCATAGTTAACCTTCTACACTTCTCAAATTAACACAATAAACAACATCCCAGAAGGGTGAGGGCGTGTCCTTTTCACCCCAAGAGGCAGAACTGCTGCATCACTTAGCCAAGCCTCTGGATTCCCCAAGTTAGCACAATGTATCAACCATAACACTCCACCCCTTGTCAACTTGGCAACCAGATACATTTCTTTAACCCAGTTTCCAGATACAAAAACATGCTTATAATTACGCCTAACATGTTATAACTATCCTACATACAAACGTAAATGCATTAATTCCCTTATCAAAATAGAAGGTAAGTTTTCCTTGGGTGATGGTTATTCTTATCATTTCACAACTTGAACAGTATAACACAGTTTAACAATCCTTAAGGACCAATAGTAAGTCTATCAACATTATATTACATTAGAACCATATTAGGGGAGAAATAGTGCAATTACAATCCTCTTTTCTGTAACTGATCACGGGGTCGTAGCTGGTATTTAGAACTACCTTCTTCCACTACCCGTTCTGTATTCCCTTGGCCTTCAGCAAGCATCTCAGCAGGTCTTGGTTCTTTTCCTGATGGAGTGACCCATACCTTCATTCCTGAAGGCTCTGGGCCATTTCTCACTGTGCCTATTTTAGGTTGTTGTAGTTTCTCATTGATTCTAATAACAGGGCATGGTAATACTAAGAGGCGCCCTAAAGGATCTCCTGTACTCCACATATATTCTTTCTTTCCTCTATTGTGGAGTAGTAGTCCAATTTCCCTTTGATAATCTGGGTCAGTTACGCCTGACCACACTGTGACTCCCTTTTCAGCTTGTTTCCTCAGAGGCATGAAGAGACCAAAATGACCAGGGGGAAATCTTAACTTCCAGTTCAATGGTATCATTGTTGTGCTTCCTGGTGCAAGCCTTCCCCGCTCTGGAACTAAGACGCCTAAGCCAGCAGAACCTAAGGTTGTGGGGACAGGAAGCAGAAATTTTGCTAATGAGTCTCTAGGAGTAATGGTGAGTGGTACCATCCCTACTTCCACCCCTTGATTCCTGGACCCATGAATCCTGGCTATGGGAGACACAGTGCCATATAGTGGGCGCTGATTCAAAGCATACACAGCCTTTTGAAGTACCTTACCCCAGCCCTGCAAGCTACTGCCACCTAGCTGGCACCTTACCTGTGTCTTCAAAAGACCATTCCACCTTTCTATCAATCCAGCCGCTTCTGGGTGGTAAGGAACATGATAAGACCAGTGAATACCATGAGCATGAGCCATTGCTTTACTTCTTTGGCTCCAAAATGTGTTCCTTGGTCAGAGGCAATGCTATGTGGAATTCCATGATGGTGGATAAGGCATTCTGTGAGTCCTTGGATGGTAGTTTTGGCAGAAGCAGTACATGCAGCAAAGGCAAATCCATATCTAGAATATGTGTCTATGCCAGTGAGGACAAAATGCAGTCCCTTCCATGATGGAAGCAGTCCAATATAATCAACCTGCCACCAGGTTGCCGGTTGATCACCACAGGGTATGGTGCCATACCGGGGACTCAGTGTTGGCCTCTGCTGCTGGCATGCTGGGCATTCAGCAGAGGCTGTAGCCAGATCAGCCTTGGTGAGTGGGAGTCCATGTTGCTGAGCCCATGCGTAACCTCCATCCCTGCCACCATGGCCACTCTGTTCATGAGCCCATCGGGCAATGACAGGGGTAGCTGAAGAAGGAGGTTGGCCACTACCCACAGACCGGGTCATCTTATCCACTTGATTATTAAAGTCTTCTTCCGCCAATGTCACCTTTTGGTGGGCATTTACGTGGGAAACAAATATTTTTACATCCTCTGCCCACATGGAGAAGTCAACCCACATACCTCTTCCCCAAATATCTTTGTCACCAATTTTCCAGTTGTGTTCTTTCCATGTGCCTGACCAGCCAGCCAGACCATTCGCTACGGCCCATGAATCAGTATATAGTCGCACGTCTGGCCATTTCTCCTGCCAGGCAAAATGTACTACCAAGTGCACTGCCCGAAGTTCTGCCCACTGTGATGATTTCCCTTCACCACTGTCCTTCAAGGATGTCTCAGAAAGGGGCTGCAATGCTGCAGCTGTCCACTCGAGGGTGGTGCCTCTGCGTGCAGAGCCATCCGTAAACCAGGCCCTAGTCTTCTCATCCTCGGACAGCTGATCATATGGCACACCCCACAAGGCCATAGGTGCATGCTGGGAAACAGAAGGCAGTACAGTAGGCATAGGAGCCATAAGCATCTGGGCAACTTCCTCATGCAATTTACTGGTACCCTCTGGACCCGCCCTGGCTCAATCATGAATATACCACTTCCATTTAATGATAGACTGTTGCTGTGCATGTCCAACCTTATGACTCGGTGGATCAGATAATACCCAGGCCATAATAGGCAATTCAGGTCTCATGGTGACCTGGTGTCCCATGGTCAAGCGTTCAGTTTCTACTAGGGCCCAGTAGCAGGCCAAGAGCTGTTTTTCAAAGGGAGAGTAGTTATCTGCAGATGATGGCAGAGCCTTGCTCCAAAATCCTAAAGGCCTCCGCTGCAATTCACCTAAGGGGGCCTGGCAGAGACTCCAAACAGCATCTCTTCCTGTCGCTGACACTTCAAGTACCATGGGATCTGCTGGATCAT